ACCGGAACATCGTGAGGTGATCGTGTTTTCTGAGAATCGTCGACAAGGCTCACCAGATAACCCTGGCAGTTGCCTCATCGCAATAACTTAGTGGCTTTCGCCATCGAAACAACATGAGGCAATGAACGATTTTTGGAGCCGAAGAAAGTGATCGACTCATCTCCCGGAAGATAGAGAGTGATCTCCCGGTCATGACACCTGATATCTGCATGATAAAAGGATAGCCAATCCATTCCGAGAATAAGGTCGAAGTCCCTCATCTCGAGAACAAACGCGTCGGTAGACAATACTCGGCCACCGATGGAAAGGCTAAGGTCTAAAGTTTTAGCTGAGGTCACTATCTTTCGTCCCGAGGCTAGACTCACCTCGAGAGGATCGACAGCGGTAACAGCCTGAACTCCGATGGCATCGAGACATCGTCGTGAAATGAATGAATGCGTTGCTCCAGTATCGAACAAAGCGAAAACAGGAATATCATTAAGTGCAACCATCCCTGACATAGTACATGGCTGCTGTGCTGCCTCGGCCTGATCGACCGCGTAGACTCGAGCCTGCTGTCTGCCCCTCTGCTGCTGCTGCTGAGGAGGCCTCTGCGCTTGCTGACGTGGCTGCTGCTGCTGTGGCGGCTGCTGAGGCTGCTGGGGCTGCTGCTGAAGTCTCTTCGGACAGCGACTCACAAAATGTCCTGGCTCGTGGTAGTAGTAGCAAATGTCCTGACCCATATGGCATTCTCCACGGTGAAGTCGTCTGCAAGTCGGGCACGGTGGAACCTGCTGCTGTCTCTGTCGGGTCCTCCGGTCAGTCTGAGCACCCTTCCCCTTCCTCTTCTTCTCCTTTGTCGGCTGAGCAGCTGGTAGAGCTGGTGGAGCTGTGAATGGCTGAACTGGGGCGGATGGCTGGGCACGATCACGGACGGCCTCCCTCCTAATGCTGGCATCCACCTCCTGGGCAATAGAGACTGCACGAGCGTAGGTCTGAGTCCCGTGTCCCACAATGTTATGACGACTGCTGGGTAAAGCCCGTCGATGAACCGTTGTGCTCTCTCGGCCTCCGTGCGAACCAGGTCCGGAACGAAAGCTGCAAGTCTTGTAAACTCTCGCTCGTACTCATCAACTGTACGAGTGCCCTGCTGGAGCGATAAGAACTGACGCTCCATCTCTGCCCGATAATAAGAGGGGTAGTACTTTTCGCGGACTAGCTCCTTGAGCATATCCCACGTACATCCCGCTTTTTCACCGGGACGCATGCTCCAGTAGGCATTCCACCAGAGCCGAGCATCACCAGTGAGCTGAAGCTGAGCGCAAACTACGCGATATCTATCAGGACAGTCCATGACCTCGAAAATAAACTCCAGGCCCTGAATCAATTCGTCTACAATGCGGGGATCTCCCTGCCCGGAGAATTTTTCAGCGTGATAGTCGCGGAACTGTGCGACTACTGTGGCCTGAGTAGGAGCCTGATGATCGGGTTCCCTACGGGGCGGCATCTGAACATTGAGAAAGATTAACATTATTGAATACGTGATTACATTCTGATTGATTACTAAGGCACACAGATCTCTTGACGAGTTGCCAAAAATGGCCGATAAATACTGACATGAATCCTGAAGAACTCTAGAGTCATATCAGAAGATACTAAATTCTAGAGTCATATCTGAATGTCCTGAATTCTAAAGTCCGATCCTGATTCGAGCATCTTAACTAAGTCCTGATCCATAATTTCTGAGCATAGACAAAGTAATATGATTATAACTGAAAACATAAATCTGCACTTACCTGTAGTCGGCGGGGCGTGAGCGTGACGGTTCAGGTTTTTCTAGAAATTACTGACTGAAAAACTTTTCAGAGACGCAAAAACGTGCTCTGATACCAATTGTAACACCCCGTCTTATCGTAAAATCAGAGTGCGAAAATTTTGCAAAGTTATTTAAAAATAAAATCTTTTACTTTGCGAAAACTGATTCGGGGTGCTACCGTAAAACGTGACTTATTGTGGAAAAATCGTTATCTTAATTTTTAATAAAATCATACGATTACTGAAAGCATAATTTTTTCCAAAAGTCCGGTCAAAACATAAGTTCATCAAAACCATCACCAGCAGAAACGTAAATTGTCATAATATATACACAGTCAAAACATAAAAGTCCTGAAACCTCCGTCATCTCACGCTCCTGGCCCGACTTCCTGACCTGAAAAACATGATAACAGTACGAAGTGAGCACTATGACACTGTGCTCCGTGGAAACTCATACTAATGTAAACATTGAAAATAATAACAACATCATGATCTTGGCATATACATAACCTGAACATGAAACCGGTAATAACATGAACATGAACCTGATATCATCACGTGAACGTGAACCATGACCGTTACCTCATCTGCCGGCACAAACTAATGCCGGACACCATGTGCACACTCTAGTGGGCAGACTAGGGACACTAGAAACCAGAATGGA